AATATAAAATTTAACAAGTACAGTATAACTAATTTCCTATGAACTTAAACCAATATAACAGGGATTCTGCCAAGTACTTTGAAGTGAGTATTAGTTATCATATTATATGTAAGTGACTCAAGGAAGAGTTTTAATTTGTAAGAACATATTATTAACTAGCTGAACAAATTTAATCTTAAAAAAAATTGTGGAATTGTAGGATGATTTCTAGTATAAAGTAGTAAAGCCTATCATATAGGGCAATTTCAGAGAACCAGGATATTAAATAAATTAAAAAGTAATCATCTGTCAGATAACTCATGTATTTTCTGAGGTGGTGAGACTAATGGAAAAGTTTTAAAAACCAAATGTCATCTTTATAATGATTTCCAAAGAAAAAAATATTACAATAAACTGGCATCAGCATGTTTAAATGTAAGTACAAATCATCTAATAATTATTTGTAATTCACACATTTTTGTGTATGTAAGATTTTAAGACTTTTTGATAGCTCTTAATGAAATGCTATTTTTCTCAGAACAATGTATGCATCTGAACTCTCACCAAGTATAAGATATATAACCAAGTATCCCTTAAAACAAAAAAAAAAACAAAAACAAACACAAACACTGGTATTTTTTAATTCTACTTGCAATGTTCTTTATGTAAACACAGATGGATGGCCTCTAATTTCAGATTTAACAAAATACAGCTTTCAGAAAATCTAACTAAAAAAAAAAAAAGAGAGTAACCAAAAAAACCCAACCAACCAACCAACCAACCAAAAAAACCCTATTTTAAAAACTTATTTGTCAGTGGTTCCAGAAATTTTTTAACCTGCCATCCTCTCCTCAACCAAATAAAGATAGCACAGCCTCATTATTAACATGATTCCATGAAAAAGGGACTATTGTTAATAATTATTCTGTACTTTAAGCAATGGACATATATAAAACAATGCACACAAGACATTTATTCATGTTTTTGAATTCTTGCCCTGCTCCAAAATAATTACACTGAGAGAATTTGCATAAGGAATCAAATGGACTATTTTGTAATCACTAATAGCTACTTATTTATCATAATTTAAAATCCTTCCCCACAGCATTCCTTTATTTCTTCATTGTGTTTTGATATTATTTGCAGAATGTGATAAATGAGTATATAATGAATGTGATGAATTAGTAGAGACTGTGAGTTCTCTACAACCAAACGAAGATAATTTTTTTTCCCTCAAATTCATGAGTTCTGCCAAACAGGAAAACAAATTGTCCAGTAAGGCTTCGTTAGCTATAAGGTGTATTTTAGCCTAATATAAAAATTACATGAATTTAATTTTTCTTTTAAAGTATATAAGAATTGTTTACACAATCAAAATCTATGAATTTTAAAGTTTAAAGATTGCCAATTATGTGTGGATTCTTACACCAGATATTACACCTAATTCCTAAATCAATAGGTTTCAAAATTCAAGATTTGCATAGGAATATACTTGAGTTTCAGGCATGGGAGAATTTACGTGATATATAAAAATTTGTTCCTCTACTCTCAAAGAAAAGTACAAAGTATCAGAGAAAGACATGCCAAAAACAATTAGAAAAACACAATTTGCAAAGTCATTTAGTATTGGACAAAGATTCACTGTACCTCCTTGAGTAGTAACTGAAGCTGAATATTGCAATCTTGGATCAATCACCTTTTGTCCAAAACACTTACCAATGTGGAAAAAATGTAGAATAAAATTACAATTTCCCTCAAAGAGAGCTGCTAATTCTACTCTGTTCTGAGTAGATCTTTTAGTTTCCAGTCATAAGATGCATTCATTTTAGAAATATTTTTAAAAATCATTTTCTAAATTTTTATATATCAATTTAATACTGAGGTAAAAAATTTTCTCTAGAGAAAAAAAGGTACAAATAATTTACAATAAAACTCTGGGTGAATTATGGCCTTTCATTCTGATAAAAGCCTACTAGGATTTACTAAACATTTTGGAAAGGCAGTATTATACCTAGGATATTTAATGTCCTCCAGAAAGCTCTCAGGGGCGATAACTAAACTCAACATAGTGTACTGTATTAAATATTAAAGATGCTGGATAGAAACATAAAGTCTAATTCTAATGATTACTTAAAATCATCTCATATAATGCTATATTTCTGAAGTACTTAGTGGTAATCAACTGATTTTTTCATCAGTTATCAATAAATAAAATTTCATCAGTAAATAAAATTTACTGAAAATTTTATTTCATCTCTTTTAGGACTTAATTGAGGTTGATCAAAAAATGTGTGAAGTTTACCACCAGTGTTATGTTATTTCCCTTGTCAAAGAAAATAAAGCTATATAAAGCACATTCTGGATTTTTAATTCTTTCCTGATTGTTTTCTTTTCAACTTTTTCATTCATGCAAGAAGAGTTTACTGAACACCTATCACATGCCAAACATTACTGCAGATGGTAGAAATACAGTAGGGATTAAAGCAGATGAAAGGACTTAGGTTCCAGTAGAAGTAAAAACAGAAAAAATATAAATAAAATGTGTAGATGTTATGTGGCAATAAATGCTGTAGAGAAAAATAAGGCAGAGGAGACAGAAAGGAGTAAAAGGGTGAGAAGAGTAGTTTCAATTTTCAATTTTAATTATAGTCATGAAGGTGAAACTTGAGCAAAGACCTAAAGGAAGTGAGGGAAAGAGCTATAAGGATATCTGAAAAGCTTTCCAGCTGGAGAAACAGCAAGTCAAGGACTCTGAGGTAGTAATGTTCTTGTTATGTTCAAAGAACAGTAAGGAAGCCAGCAACAAGGCCATATGAGCAAAAAATACAGTAAGAGATGAGATCATCTAGGACCAGAGCATGTACAGACCCTTATAAGTCATTGCAAAAACTGGTTTTCATTATGGGTCAAATGAGAAGTTCATGAAAGGTTTGCAGGAAAGAAGTGACATGATCTGACATGCCCTTTATAAGGATCATTTTGGCTGCTTTTTTTTTTTTTTTTCCCCTTGGCTGCTCTTTTGAGGATAAATTAAAAGTAGGAAGATTAAATGGCTCTTTTATAAGGGCTGCTGATGGCCTGTGTCAGAATACTCACAGGAGAAGTGGAAAAATAGTAAGGTTCTACATAAAATGTAATGGAAGAGCTACCATGGATTTGTTGATGGGATGAGTGGGGTATGAGAGAACAACTGAAATCAAGAATAAGAATCAAGGATTAAACCCTGAGCAAATATAAGGATGGATTTACCAGTGATAGAAAGGAGGGAAACTGTTGGAGGAAGAGGTGTGGTTCAAGGGGCAGAAGAAAAATCAGAACCTCAGTTTTGAATGTTAAGCCATAAATGCTTATTATACCTCTACACAGAATTAGTGATTTTAATAGGCAGCTGGGCACAGAAGTCCAAAGTACTGGGAAATGGATCCAGAATGCCAAAAGATGTAATAAACTCAGGATATCATCAACAGAATCAGTAAATATAAGAATGCCCAAATTGAGTCTTGGTATTTAAATGATTACATAATAACACATTGAGCCTGAGATTTATACGTAATATGCCATACCAAATTTTGTACAACAGAAACAAAAAGGAAGCAATCCTTAGGTAACTACATTCTAAATATGCATTCCCTGTGGCTTTAAGATCCAAGAAGGAAAGAAAAAGGAAAGGGACATATCCTTAATGCAAGAAAGGGAAACTAATAAACTAATATTTAATCTCATTCTGATTTCCACCAAAGCACTGATACTGGCAGAAAGGGCTAGCTAGGAATGTACACAGCTCTAAGCTGCTTGTGAGAGTCATGAAAAAATATATTTGCATCATCCCCATCATATGCCAGGCACTAAGTAAGTGCTGAGTATTCAATGATAAAAGAAGCAAACACAAACTGCTTAACTATGAAGATGGATAGATAATAAGTACACAAGTAAGCATACAACTACAAACTGTGAGAAATGCCATGAGAAAATAATATGGGGGACTGTTCTTAGATTGAGTGATCATACAAAGACAAATAATATAACAACAAAACAAGCTTAAAATTTCTCTAAAAATCTAACTACTCAGTTTTAGGTAATTACATAATTGCCATACAAACCTGCTTTTCTTAAGCTTCTCTTCCTTTTTCCTTTAATTTGCCATTGTTTAGACATGAAGATTGCTATATTCTTGTAGTAAGCAGATGCTCAAAATATTTTATATAATTTTTATAAATGAGCATTACATTGATAATCTTTGATAATTTTTACATTGATAATTTTGATAATATTTATAGCCACACCCATGAAAAAATATACTTTAAGCTCTAAATGTATTTTGTGAGTACCTGAATTTATATACTCTAATTAACAAAAATATCCATAGTAAAACAAATGGAATGTGAAAAATCTAAGTTCTTAGTGGCTTAAGGACTGACAATAACAAACATCTTAAATTTTATTTCATTAGTACGTTTTCAGTAGCATTCCTACCTCACTCTCAGTAACTCAATATGATATAGTTCCATACTGAGTGACAAACTTATTTAATAGGCCAGATCATCAAAGTCAATAACCCATTTTATTTGTGAAACACGTGTCCAGAGCAGCCACCAAAAAAAAAAAAAAAAAACCCACAAAAACAAAAACAAAAACAAAAAAAAAAAACCACACAAACAAAGCCAGTATCATTTGTTCTTGGGTATAAAAATGAGAGAACCTAGAATAGTACACACCACTACCTATAAAAGGAATACTTAATACTATGTAACTGAAAAATTAACTATAAACAAAGATCTTAAAATGTATATAAATTTGCTGCATAGACATTTTGACATTTCTTTAAAGTAACATCCCCTTACATATGTAGTTCAGGTAGGGTTACTTTATTATATATATGTTTTTTTGATTATTTGGAAAACCTCATGGTGAGGAATCTGTATATTAGCAAATACAAATTACCAACTAGAACATAGTGTTATTATGACTATTGTTACAGGAAGAATTTAAGTAATTCATTTTGCAAGTAGATAGTAACTTACCTGAAATGTAAATGACCTTTTGATCACTTCTTTGACCAAGGGAATTGGTCACTTTACAGACATAAACACCAGAATAATTGAAAGTCAATGGATGGACAAAATGAAGAGTATTGTCTGAAGCCAATAAACCATCAGGCCATTGTCCATCCAACCTAGATTTTAAAAAGCATGAAGTTATTTTAAATACCTTCAAACCTTATTCACAGACAGCTATTTAAATAAAATAAGATATTATACTGTTGAGATGTTAGTAAAGAACTGGCATTCTTTAGATAAAATTCACTATGAAATGGATAAAGATATAAATTTTTATTTCAATAAAAATAAAGTTACTGTTAAAATCCATTAAGAATACCCACTCTTTAAATGAAACAAGATGGGATTGGGAGGGAGACAAACCATAAGTGACTCTCAATCTCACAAAACAAACTGAGGGTTGATGGGGGGAGGGGGATTGGGGGGGTGGGGTTATGGACATTGGGGAGGGTATGTGCTATGGTGAGTGCTGTGAAGTGTGTAAACCTGGCGATTCACAGACCTGTACCCCTGGGGATAAAAATATATGTTTATAAAAAATAAAATTAAAAAAAAAAAAAAAGAATACCCACTCTTTCAAAATAGCAACTGACATAAGTGCAAGCAGGCCAACATATTAGAATGAGAGGGAAGGAAAGAAAAAAATTAGATGATTTTAAAGAATTATATTCAGAAAACTGGAAAGGAAAGCTGGAAAATTAGAAAAAATATATTATTTGAAGACCTACAGTATCAAAAGAATTAAAAATAATTCTCAGTGAATAGATCTATTCATGATATATCTATAAATTTCTTAAGAAATTTAAGATAAAAGCCATTTAAGTACATGATAATGTTTAAGCACCTTCTGTTATATATTTAAAGAACATCACTTCATACTGAGCAAATCTATACCGTACCTCATTCAAAGATGGTTAGTTTCTAAAGCATCAGAAAGGGTCTGCTTAATGATGTATCAGGTAAGGGGCTATAGTATCCAAAATCTATAAAGAACTTATCAAACTCAACACCCAAAGTATAAATAATCCAATCAAGAAATGGGCAGAAGACATGAACAGACATTTCTGCAAAGACATCCAAATGGCCAACATACATGAAAAAGTGCTCCACATCACTCGGCATCAGGGAAATACAAATCAAAACCACAATGAGATACCTCACAGCAGTCAGAATGGCTAAAATTAACATGTCAGAAAACGATAGATGTTGACCAGGATACAGAGAAAGGGGAAGCCTCCTACACTGCTGGTGGGAATGGGTATAGTCACTCTGGAACAGTATGGAGGCTCCTCAGAAAGTTGAAAATAGAGCCACCCTATAACCCAGCAATCGCATTACTGGGTATTTACCCTAAAGATACAAATGTAGTCATCCGAAGGGCCACATGAACCTCAATGTTTATAGCAGCAATGTAGATCATCAACAAATGAATGGATAAAGAAGAGGTGGTATATATATATATATATATATATATATATACACACACACACACACACACAATGGAACACTATGCAGTCATCAAGAAATGAAATCTTGCCATTTGTAACGACGTGAACGGAACTACAGAGTATTATGCTGAGCAAAATAAGTCAATCAGACAATTTTCATATGATCTCTCTGATATGAGGACTTTGAGAGGGAGTGTGGGGGTTGTGCAGAGTAGGGAAGGAAAAAATGAAATAAGATTGGGAGCGGGAAGGAGACAAACCATAAGAGACCCAATCTCACGAAACAAACTGAGGGTTCCTGGGGGCTGAAGGGGTAGGGATAGGGTGGCTGGATTATGGACACTGGGGAGGGTATGTGCTATGATGAGTGCTGTGAAATGTGTAAGCCTGATGATTCACAGACCTGTACCCCTGGGGCAAATAATAATTATATATTAATAAAAAAAAATAAAGTGGAGGTTACTAGAAAAATAAAGGGTCTGTTTATAAAATAATCTCATTTGTAAAGTTGGCATCTGTGACAGTAAAAACCAAGGTACAATCTGGCATCAATAAAAACTTTTAAAAAATGGTGTCTATACTAATTTGGCTAAGAGATCTTATCTAGTGTATGCATTACTATATACCACAATAGGAATAAAATCTCACTATGACAATTCTAAAGCTATTTAATGCAATGGAACTAAGTATACTGTTATACATCATACTGCCAACCTTAGGGTACCAAAAAACACATAAAGAATTATTTATTTTGAAGTTATTTTTAAAGTCCATGAGTTATTTTTTAAGAGAACAAGAAATCAAATAAACTAAGCACTCAACTATTATAGTTTGATCTAAGCAGATTTTCAAAAGGTTCATTTATTCATTCACTCAACCATCCATTACTTAATTGCCAGGAGCTTAATATTAACCATACTCCAGTCTGCTGGTGTTGCTGAGCTACAGAAGTAAATAAGATATTGTCTTTGCTTTCAATGATCTAAGTACACAGAAAACTGACAACTAATTATGAAGAGAATAAGAACAAAAAATGATAAACAGGTAGAAAGAAACAAAACACTGGACAATAGGAGGAATCATTTTGTTCTGCAAATCCAACAGTAGTAGGTGGAAGAACAGTCAATAAAATCTTTTACAGTGCAGGAGCTTCAATTTAGCATTGAAGAAAAAAGGTAATATTCTCACATGGTTTTAAAAAACAAAAACACCCAAACTCCGTCTACAAAAACTTTGAAAAGAACATTTGTATAAGCACTGACTTTCAAAAGGTGAACTTCTTCTAGGAAGATGAGAATGAATATGGAGTATATAAATACCAATTATCTCTCTGCACTTTGAGGCCCAAATTCTAATCCCTTTAATTCTGAGAAATATAAAAATGGCTTATAATTCTTTAAAATTGCTTGTTAAATAAGCCACAGTCAAAAAATTCTAAATATCACATTAAACTCAACCAAATGACATGTTAAGCACCTTCTATACTCTTTACCTATGTTACCTGGTTTATGTTAATTGTCTCTACCATTACAACTCTATGATGTACCATTATCAGTGTGGAAACAAAGGTCTTACTCAAAAAGACACCTCCAAGTACAGGTACTAGGAAGGGAACTTGGAATTGTACGACTTTTAGACATAACCTATCCCACATTTTAACCAATGACTGCTTCCCACTTTTAAGAAAATGTAAATTAAAACAAAACAAAACCAACCCTGTATTTTTGTTTAAAGACAACAGATTGACCAAATACAGTTTCCTCGCTCCCACAAAATCTCACCTGAAACAAAAGTAAAGGAAATGAAAGGTATTAAAAACCCACAGGAAGAAAGAGAAAAGAGGGCAGAATTCATCAGACAAGATGTTTCAACAAACTTCTAGAAGACAGAAAACAGATGGAGGAGTAAACAATATATGCTGTGAGCCACTGTTTCTCAATCAAGAGTGATTTTGTCACCAGGCGACAACTGGCAAGTCTGGAGACATTTTTGGGTTCCACAAAGGGGTATAAGGCCAGGGATGCTACTAAACATCCTGCAATGCAGAGGATGACCTCCCACAACAATGATTTATCCAGCTCAACTTGTCAACAGTGCCAAGGATGAAAAGCTCCACTTTGGGCTGAAGAAGTGCTTCTAAGAGGCATATGAATGGGAATGGAGCCAATGTGGTCCAAGGAATCCAAGATTTGGAATTTGACTCACTGTACTAATACAGAAAGCCAGAGTGAAGCAGAAGCCTAGAATTATGGACATTAGTTGAAAGTTGAAAAAATAGATGCCTCTCAACTCTGTACAGACACTAGGCATTTATGTTTTAAATAGAAGATGAAGGTTATTCCAATAAAATAAACTGAATGGCCACCAAAAAGACTTCCACTCTTCCTGAGTGACACTGAAGCTTCCCCAGGGAAATAACTCTTTACCTGATCACTCTAACTGTATCTAATAATGAGTAATCCCCACTATAAAGACAGAGTTTCTACTCTGAATTTTAATACATTTTAATATTTCAATGCATCACTGTGAAATGACTGGATAACTGAGAAATTAAGGAATATCTATGAAATGAAAAAGGAAAAAAAAAGACAAAATAAGAAGCAATAAAAACTCTCTGAAGAGAGGAGTCAAGATGGCGGAGAAGTAGCAGGCTGAGACTACTTCAGGTAGCGGGAGATCAGCTAAATAGCTTATCTAAAGATTGCAAACACCTACAAATCCAACGGGAGATCGAAGAGAAAAAGAACAACAACTCTAGAAACAGAAAATCAACCACTTTCTGAAAGGTAGGACTGGCGGAGAAGTGAATCCAAAGCGACGGGAAGATAGACCGCAGGGGGAGGGGCCGGCTCCCGGCAAGCGGTGGAGCAACGGAGCACAAAATCAGGACTTTTAAAAGTCTGTTCCGCTGAGGGACATCGCTCCAGAGGCTTAACCGGGGTGAAGCCCAGGCGGGGTCAGCGCGGCCTCAGGTCCCGCAGGGTCACAGAAGGATCGGGGGTGTCTGAGTGTCGCAGAGCTTACAGGTATTAGAACGGGGAAACCGGCTACAGAGACAGAGCCGAGGAGTGAGCTCTAAGCTCGGGGTTACCTTGAACCGGCTGCAGGCTCGGTCAGCTCGGAGCACGGCCGGAGGCAGGGTGACGGGAGTAATTGGGCGCTGTTCTCTGAGGGCGCACTGAGGAGTGGGGCCCCGGGCTCTCGGCTCCTCTGGGTGGGAGACCGGGAGGCCGCCATCTTTATTACCGCCCTCCGGAACTCTACGGAAAGCGCTCAGGGAACAAAAGCTCCCGAAAGCAAACCCGAGCGGATTACTCAGCCCGGCGCCAGTAAGGGCAGTGCAACTCCGCCTGGGGCAAAGACACTTGAGAATCACTACAACAGGCCCCTCCCCCAGAAGATCAACAAGAAACCCAGCCAGGACCAAGTTCACCTGCCAAGGAGTGCAGTTTCAATACCAAGGAGAGCAGCGGAATTCCAGAGGAGGAGAAAGCAAAGCACAGAACTCATGGCTTTCTCCCCATGATTCTTCAGCCTTGCAGTTAATTTAATTTTTTTTACTTTTTCAATTTTTTTTCTCTTCTTCTGCTAAATTTTTTTTAACTTTTACCGTTTTCTTTTTTAACGTTTTTTAAATAGTTTATCTAATATATATATATATATTTTTT